CCCCCTGCCTGGGGAGAGCGCCCCCTGCCGGGGAACATCCCCACCCCTTGCACTCCCAGTCCTGGTCCCACCCCTTGCAGGGCCCCGGGCCCTGGGAAGAGCACCCTGTGCTGTGGAGACCCCACCCCCCATGCTCTCGGCGCTGGGGTCTTCCCCATTGGCCCCCGCCCTGGGGAGATTGGAGAGAGACCTCCACCCACTGCATTTCCAGCCCTGGGGTGTCCCCTGTCCCATGGAGAGCGCCTCCTGCTGGGGAAACACACACACCATCCCCTGGCCCTGGGCTGGTCTGTCTCTTGCAGGGCTGGTCTCGGCAGGCTGGGTCACGGATCGGAACCTGCTTGGAGCAGAGGAATGGCGTCTGGATTGGACCCCAAAGGACAAGAAAGTCCTGTAGACCTGCCCCCCTCCCCAGCGTCGGCAGCGACCCCAACGAGACCAAAACGTTCTGTACCTTAGCGGGCTCACCCCAGTGAGGTGACTGGGACCAGTGACTGAAGGATGCAGATTCGATCCAGCTCCGTGTGGGACCAGTTACACACACTGTGAATCCAACTTGCTCTGCACCCCTGTACTGCTGGGAATAAAGATTTTATATATATACATAGACATGGGGCTTTTCCCTGCTAGGGGGCACGGCTGAGATGCAGCCACCTCTGGTGCAGGGTGTGGGGACTGTTTATACGGGGATCCCTTTTCTGGTGCTGTGATGCAGCTCCCTCTGGGGTGGAGTTCGGGGGCTGTTTATACGGGGATCCCTTGCCTGGCACTGAGATGCAGCCACCTCCAGGGTGGGGCACAGGGGCTGTTTATACAGGGATCCCTCGCCTGGGCTGAGTTGCAGCCGTATCTGGGGCATAGTTCAAGCTCCCTACTGTTTGCAATCCCACCGTGTGCGCGTGGCCAGGTGATGTCACGGTCCTGCTGTGTGGGGTGATGATGAGACCATAGGCTTGTGCGGAGCCAATTTCATGAGGGAGGGCCCGGCCCCTCCGTGCAAGTCTTGTGAGTCATTGTGCACATGTCGTGTGATGGCCATCGCTGAGCACTGGCGAGGTGGCAGAGACGGATCCCGGCCAGCAACATCCTTGCTCCCAGTGAGTGTGTCTTCGCCCTGTGTGTGTGTGTGGTGATTTGTGTGTTGTTGTCATTCTCTGTGTGTGTGTTATTCTCTGTACCCTTGTAGTGGGTGTGATTTTGTGTTAGTGTCATTCAGTGTTTTTCTGTGTGTGTGTTTGTGATTGTGTTAGTGTTCTGTGTGTGTGTGCAATTTTGTGTTTGTGTGACTGTTACCCTCTATTGTTATAGTGTGTGTGATTGTGTGTTAGGAGTAGTCTCTGTACCCTCGTGTGTGTGATTGTATGTCAGTGTGTGTGTGTGTGTCTTGTTCTGCGTGCCCTTGTGTGTGTGACTGTGTGTCACTGTCATTCTGTGTGCCATATTGTAGGAGGCTGCTGGGGGGTGTCTGTGCTGAGTTGTGGGGTGTGTGTGCATATGCATGCACCAGCATCAGTAGATATCAGCTGTCTGAGAGTCGCTGTCCTGCTATCAGTGTGTGCGTGTGTGCATGTTGCAGGGTGTGGGTCATTGTGTCAAATGTGTGTGTTGTATCTGCTGGTTGTACCGTCTGCTGTCAGCGAGTGTGTGTGAGTTTTGTTTCCTGTGTGTATAAACAGTAGGGTGTGTCACTCAGGGCAGGTGTGTGTTACATTATTAATGCGTGTGGGGGGATGTCCTGTTCCGTGTGTGTGGGACCCAAAGTCCAGGAGTCTCTCTCCCAGCCACGGTGCGTCAGTGGGTATGTGTATATTTGTGCATGTTTCCTCTGTGTGTGAGTGGGTGGCTGTGTCTGTAGGTTTTCAGGAGTCACACCCCACCCTCAGCTGCTGTGTGTTATGTGTGTGTATGTCTCTGTGTGTGTTACACTATGTTATAGTCTGTGTGTACATGACACTGTGTCTATGCATGTGTGTGACGTGTGTTACACTGTGCTACACTGCGACACTGCATGTTACACATAGACATAGTGTGTGTGAATTACACTGTGCTCTGTGTGATACAATAAACTGTGTTTTTCCCTGTGTGTATTAAATTTGTGTGTGCAACTGTTACACACAGACACACACAAAGAGTATCTCGGTGTGTGTGTGACACTGCTCTGTGTGTGACGCGGTTACGCTTTCTGTGTTACACTTAGTGTTTTACACTGGTTTATGCTCTCTTTGTGTGTTACACCCTATGTGTTTTACATTTGTATGTGCAACACTTTTGCTGTGTGTCTATCAGAGTGTGTGTGTTATACTGCTATGCTCTGTGTGACACTGTGTGTTACGCTCTGTGTGTTACACTGTGCCTGTGCACAACATTGTTCTGCTCGGTGTGTATGACACTGTGTATCTGTGTGTTTGTGTTATGCTGTGTGTAACTGTGTGGTCTCGGGGAGTGGGCTGGCTCTGTCTGGGAGTGCTGTCTGGCCCCATGGCAGTCCCAAACCTGGGCACTACTCTCCTGATGGCCGTGGGGGACCCAGCCTGTCTTTGGGGGATGCCCCTGGGGCAGCGACTCCCCTTTGCCCCAGGCTGGGATCTCCCAGGCAAAGGCAGGCTGTGCAGAGCATCTCATAATTCCCAGGGGTGAGCGCCCAGTGCCTGGGTCCCATTCCCTGTCCCGGTTTCTCCCCCAGGGGTGAGCCGTGGTGTGTGCATGGTGCTGTACGTGTCCCTCCAGGATGGTCATCCCCAGGCTTTCCCTGCGGCGCCATCTACCCCGGATACCTGGCCATGCCCTGCGGCTCCGCTCCTGGCAGATTCTCAAGCCCCTCACCTGTGCTGGGCTGCAGCCCACCAGCAAGGTCAGGGCATGGGGGGTAGAGAAGGGGCCAGCGATGGGGAGGAACTGGGGAGAAGGGGGACAGAAGAAGGGATGGGAGGGATCTGGGGTGGGAGGGGAGGAGTGGGGGGAGGGGGCATATAGGGGGCTCTATGGGGCGAGTGCCCCCTGCTGACTCTCCCCGCTGCAGGCCTTGTACTGCCGCGCCCCCACCCGGCTGCTCTCGCGACTCTGGGGGGTGCTGACAGGGCTGGCGCTGCCCCGCTGGCTGCAACGCCCCCTGCTGGCGCTCTACGTCTGGGCCTTCTCCGTCAACATGGCCGAGGCGTCTGAGGAAGATCTGAGTGTCTACCGCAGCCTTGGGGAGCTCTTCCGGCGTCCGCTCAAGCCCTGGGTGCGTCCCATCGCACCCTATGACATGGTATGTCCTGCTCTGTCCCCCCCATTGCCCTCCCATGGCATAGTACTTCCCGCCTTGCCCCCCCATTGCCCTCCCATGACATGGTACGTCCCGCCTTGCCCCCCCATTGCCCTCCTATGGCATGGTACGTCCTGGTCTGTCCCCCCACATTGCCCTTCCATGGCATGGTATTTCCCGGCCTGCCCCCATTGCCCTTCCATGGCATGGTATGTCCTGCTCTGTTCTCTCCCCTGCCCCCATTGCTCTTCCATGGCATGGGATGTCGTACCCTGGACCCCCATGACATGGTAGGTGACGGTCCTTCCCATTGTTCTCCCATGGCATGGTATGTCCTACCCTGCTCCCCCATTGCCCTCCCATGACATGGTAGGTCCCTCCCATTGTTCTCCCATGGCATGGTACGTTCCACCCTGCCACCCCATTGCCCTCCCATGACATGGTATATCTTGCCCGGCCCCTTCATTGCCTTCCCATGTCATGGCAGGTCCCCCCCTTCCCCAGCAAAGCTCCTCATGGGATGGTATGTTCAATCCCACCCCTCCACGGTACCGTTACCTTCCACTCCTGCACCCCCTACAATATGATCGGTCGCATTTTGTTCTCCCCTCACCATGGCATGGTATGTCCCACCCCTCCTGCACAAATTATGGTATGTCCCATCCCCCCCTCCACATGGTATGTCTCATTCTCCCCTCCCCTCTGTGCCCCATATCATGGGTCTTCCCTTCCCATGAAACCCCTTTGACATGGTACGTCCCGATGCCCACAGTGACAATACACATGCACATCCCTCCCTGAGGCCAGGCTCACCAGGGTCCCAGATCTCCCCGCCTGCCTTGGCCCGCGTGTGTGCCCAGCAGCGCTGCGAGCTCAACATGGCTGTGCCAGCAGCGGCACATGAGCCTCCCTCACGTGTGAGACACAAGCACATTCCCCAGGGCTCCAGGCCTGGTGCTTTCACAGCCTGGCTTTTCACGAGAGCTTTGCACTGTCTGTGCACGGGCCGGCATGGGCCCTCCCCAGAGCCCTGCCCCTGCCTTCCCAGGGCGCTGCTCCCTGGGGTTTGGGAGCGCCCCCATCTTTGCTCAGCTGGCACAGGTGTGAACACCTTGGCCTGCCCTCGTGAATCCCCGTGTGAGGCCATCCCTGCTTCTCATCCTGTCCCGGCTGGTTGCAGGTCAGCCCGGCAGATGGCTGCATCGTGCACCTGGGCCAGGTGCGGAGGAGCCGCCTGGAGCAGGTGAAGGGGGTGACGTACTCCCTGGAGAGCTTCCTCGGGCCCCAGGACTGGAGGGAAGATGGGGGTGAGCGAGGGGTTGGGGGTGGGCTGATGTGGGGAGTTGGGCTTAGGATCCAATCCAGGGGGGGTGGCTGGGATAGATCCCAGGGGCCAATCTGGGGGCCAAAGGGGCCACGCTGGGGGGGACAATCCGTGTGTGTGTGTGTCCCCCAATCCAAGGCAGGTGCAGATTAACCCTTTGCTGTCCGTCTCTCTCCCCCAGGCCGGGATCTCTCCCCATGGTGGCGCCGGGGGCACCGGCTCTATCAGTGCATCATCTATCTGGCGCCGGGTGACTACCACCGCTTCCATTCGCCCACCGACTGGCACATCCGGCACCGCCGGCACTTCCCCGGTACGGCACAGCCGAGGGGGGGAGCAGGCTGCGGAGGCGGGGGGCCTGGACCCGATTGTCACTCACGCTGGGGTCTCCTCTTCCCTCCCATCTGTCTGCCTGCCCTGCCCCGTGCCCGTCCGTGGCAGGCTCCCTGATGTCGGTGAGCCCGAGTGTGGTGCGCTGGATCCCGGGGCTGTTCTGCCACAACGAGCGGGTGGTGCTGAGCGGGGAGTGGGCTCACGGCTTCTTCTCCCTGACTGCCGTGGGAGCCACCAACGTGGGCTCCATCCGCATCTACTGCGACCAGGTGGGGCTGGGGGCAGAGGGAGCTGGGAGCCCTGGAGAGGGGGGAAGCCCTCTGCTGTCCTGATGGGGTCCCTGGTGAGCGTGTGCGCTTGTGGGGTCTGCATGGGGGGGGAGTCCTGGTGAGCGCGCACAGGCTCATGGGATTGCATGTGGGGGGGCCCTGGCAAGTGTGCACACACTTGCACGATCAGATGTGGGGGAGGCCCTGGTGAGTATGTGTGTGCTTGTGGAATCTCATGTGGGGGGTTCCTGGTGAGTGCACACGCATTTGTGGGATCAGACAAGGGGGGGCTCTGGTAAGTGTGCGTGCACTTGTGCGATCGCACATGGGGGGCCTCCCGGTGAGCATGTGCGCCCATGGGATTGCATGTGGGGGGGCCTGGTGAGCGCATGCTCTGGTGGGATTGCACGTGGGGGGGGGGCTAGTGAGCACGTGCTCCCGTGGGATCGCATGTGGGGGGTGGGTGAGCGCACAGTCACATGGCTCTTGCGAGCCAGAGCAGACGTGGAGCGAGGGGGTACCTGTCACCATGGTAACCATGGCCCCCTTTCTCTCCGGCAGGACCTTCACACCAATTGCGCCCGCCACGTGCAGGGCCGCTACCACGACCTCAGCTACTTGGCTTGGGCAGGGCCAGCCGGGGTCCCCACCCCCAAGGGAGCCGGCCTGGGCGAGTTCAACCTGGGCTCCACCATCGTCCTTCTCTTCCAGGCGCCCCGGCGCTTTGGCTTCCGCACCAGTGCTGGGCGCAGGGTGCGGGTGGGGCAGGCGCTGGGCAGCCTGTGACGCGGCGGGCAGAGGAGCAGGCCCCCATTTCAGGGCGGGACCCCGATTTCCTGGGGAGATTGGAGAACCCCTTCACTGCCATGGGGGAGACACCCCAGATTCAGTGGAGTACAGGGAGGAGACACCAGACTTGTGGGAGAAGGGAAGCCCCCATTTCAGATGGGAGAATTGGACCCCTCTTTACTGGGGGGAAGGGAGGGGTCCCCCATTCCAATAGCCCCTCCAGCTTTTTGCTGAGGAATGTGGGGGGCTTTGACACCCCTTAAGAATCATGGAGGAAACATAGGAGTGACCCTGATCTTAGCAGGGGATGGGATTTTTGGAGGCGGGAGCACGAGGAACCGTACATTCAAGAGGGGGGACAGAGAGCCCCCCCATACTAGGAGAAGGGACCCCACTTTCCAGGGAGCGAATAGGGGGTGAATCTGTGGCCCCCCATCTTTAATTCCAATGGGGGTAAAAAGAGGATACTTGGTTTTAAGTGGGGGGGTCCCAAATTCAGCGGGGGGGGCATGGGGGTGAGACCGAGGCCCCCCCCCTTAATTCCAACGGGGGATGATGTGAATGGCTCAGGGGAGCTCCTTCCCAGATCCTTTGGGGTTGAAATGTGGGGGGAACTTTTGTACCATCCTCTCTGCCCCTCCACCCGCACCCCATCCCATCCCCATAAAGCAGTCTGAGCACCAGGGGGCAGAATAGCTCTGAAATAGAGCTTTCTATTTTCATATACAGCCTGTTTGTGTGTGTTTGTGGTGGGGGACGGGCCCTGGAGCCTTTCCCCTCTAGGGGGCGCTGGCT